GGTACGGGAAGGGAAAATGTGGAATAATTTCCTTCAGGAGGGCCTTGACCACCTCATGTGCCCTGTTAGTACAGCAGGGAAAGACCTCAATCCATCCAGAAAAAGCATCCACAAAAACCAGCAAATATCTAAAGCCTTGTTTCCTTGGCAACTCAGTAAAATCAACTTCCCCAAAACTAACAGGAGCTTGGCCCGCCCTAAGCCTCCCTAAGGGGAACTTAATGGCCTTTACAGGATTATTGTGTTAACAAACCACACATTGCTTGATCATTGTGAGGGCCTTGTCATAGATTCCAGGACAAATATAGTCCTTTATAAGAAATTCAGCCATGGCCTTGTAATCCCAATGAATGCTGGCATGCAATTTTCTTAAGAGGGCCCATAATTTGTGTTCAGGGAGAAGGCATTTCCTGTCCTTCTCCAGCCAATTTCCATGATAAACAGCATCCATTTCATAAGCTCAGTGTCATGCCTCCATCGGAGCCTGAAACTGCTGAGGAAAATGAGCTGGAACAGGACCCTATGGAAGTGGAGGGAGAGCCATAAGAGGCAGATCAGGTGATGAGCAAGGGCCACCCCCTCCTGACCTTAGAGCACGGAGAGTGGAGAGGAGGAGAAAACAATGCAGGCAGGTTCAACAACTCAGGAAAGTACCCTGCCCATCTCCACAAGGTATACGTGGAGACTGAGACTTAAGGAGATGCTGTGGGGAGGGGCATTTGTTGGGAACAAATGCCGATTTCTTGGAGGCAAGCTTGTATTTCCAAAGACTTGTTAAATTTTGGATGTATGTATCATTCCTTGTTATCTACGTGGCCTTGAGTAAATTACTCTTCTAACTATGTGAAACTACTTGCAACCAGAGGCTGCTGAAGGTGGGTGTGTCTTACTTTGTTCTGGGGCTTAGTACACATTTGTTTCCTGCTTTGCTGCCCTGACCGCTGTCTTTTCAAATCTGTTAAAGAAAGTGTTGGAGTGCTGAGGAGCAGGGAGGCTTTGATGCCATTAAGGCCGCATTCACCTCTGAGCCCATCCTCAAGCATCCTGTTCCCTTTAGGCCATTTGTGGTGAACACAGATGTGTGGGATATGACTTTCAGGGCAGTGCTTTTGCAGGTCTTTGCACCCGCAGGCACCTTGTTCCTGTGTGACTATTCCCGGAAGTTGTTGGCACCAGAATGAGATTATACCATTTGGGACAAGGAGTTGTTAGTGGTGAAAGTCGCCTTCGACATGTGACAGCACTTGGAGGGAGCCCGCCACCAAGTTGAGGTTTGAACTGACCATCAGAACCTAGAGTACCTATAGATTGCTAGGATGCTGAACCAGTAACAGGGGCAATGGTCGCTATTATTCGCAAGGTTCGACTTTTGGGTGACATATGTTCCTAGCAGGTGGATCCAGCGCATGGACACGCTGTCCCACTAGCCAGAGTTCACCTGAAAGGAGGACAAGATCATGTCCAGAAGAGACTAGACAGTCACTTGGCTGCAACGGTATTGGTTCTCGTACTTGAAGAGAGGGCTGGACAAGAAGACTTCCATTGTCCCTTCCAGCTCTATTCTATTCTAAAATGGTTTATGGCCACGAAGGAGCCTGTGGACATATGGGCCAGGATTCACAAGGCACAGCAACAGAATCCATTCGTGGTGGCTCGTCACCGTGACAGGACGAATGGATGTACACGGAGAACCTGTTGCATTTTAGTGACTGCTTCTGTGTTCCTGGGGGACCCCTCTGTGATATCATCTTGAGACAATGTCATGACAGCGTGACAGCAGACTACTTTGAGATCTTCAAGATGTTATACCTGGTCGCTAGGACATTTTGGTGACTGCAACAACAGCATGTGTGGGGGTATGGGGCATTGCATGTGCAATGTCAGCAGGCCTAATATTTGCCCCATAGTCTGTTGCAGCAGTTGCCCATGCCAGACACTGTGGGAGGTGGTGTCATTGGATTTCATTACGGATTTGCCCCCATCAAAAGGTGCCACCACAATACTGGTTGTTGTGGACATGCTCAATGAAGATAGCTCATTTTATCCTGTGTGCAGGTCTTGCCACCACTTGAGCAACAGCCCACCTGTTCATTGCCCATGTATTCCGGCTTCAAGATCAACCGAACTGGGTAGAGTCCGACCGGGGTGTGCAGTTCATGGCACGCTTCTGACACATGCTACTAATGAAACTGAAGTTCCAAGCGTGTTTCTTTTCTGCCCATCACTTAGAAATCGATGGGAGACAGTGAATGCCATCCTGGAATAGTACCTCAGATTTTTCAGCAACCAACAGGACAATTGGGCCGAGGTGCTGGCATTGGTGGAATTTGCTTGTAACACCCAGCATGCCTCCATCAGTGTCACCATTTTTCATGAGCTGCGTGTTATGGTTCCAGATAAGGAAACACTTCAAAGAACTTCCAGGCATTTATTTTCCTAAAAGTTTTTTATTGTTACAAAATGTTGGCACAGGCACAACGGAGGGATGCTAGGATCTAAGTTCTCTTCCTCTGAGCAGTTAAATTATCAGCATGTTCCCTCCCTAAATTAGCCGTCATATATCACATTATCCAATTAGTGTGAAGGTCAAAGGTTTTCTTCCTCTTTCTTTCCTGGGCTTTACCCCCACCCCCCCTTCTGCTCTGTATTAACCCCATAAATACCAGACAGTTCTGCATATTGTCAAAAGCAAGACTATACAATATTTGCAGCGTTGACATTGCGGGTTCCACTAACAATTCTTCCCGTTGGCTCTGTTGGACTTCCCAGCACCTGCTAACTGTGGATACTGTCCTCCAAGAGCTGCAAGCCATGCACCAAGTGGTGAGAAGCCAGCTAAAGACACCCAAGGCAGACTATAAAAGATTCACAGATCGGCATCATAGTTGTTCCCAGACTTGGGCGACAGTGTTTGGTTCCCCACGCGGTACCTGCTGACATCTCAGCCATCCAAAAAGCTTGATCAGTGCTATTTGGGCCTCTTTCTAGTTGAAGCAGTGATCAATCTGATTGCTTTTTGACTCATTCTGCCGCGTACTATGAGAATTCACTCAGTGTTCCATCAGTCATTGCTGTTACTGGCAGTGGGCAATAGTCTGCATTGACAGGCTCCACTGCCACCAGGATCAGTAACCCCTCAAAAAGCAGAAGAGTATGAGTTGGAGCATTGCCTTGCTCTAAAGACTGCCCTTGCCTTATACCTGGACTTCTGCCTTGGGGGCTTACTGGGTAATCTATGGGCTGTTGTTTGGGAGACTGAAGGTGGGGCCTGAATAGTCGGTGGAGGGCCATTTGTTTAACCTTCCCAAGACAAATAAACAACTGTCGAGGCCTGCCTAGTCTTGCCCTCCTGGGTCATAACATCCACCTTGTTTGGGTGGGTCAGGCCATAGCTGGTTTTGCTTTCAATTGTGACGAAGTGACATACTTAATATTTACATTAAGAGATCAGAATGTCTCAAAGGTGTTTGCTTGGTTGGCTTCATCATTCAGAACCCTGCCAAAAACTTTCCACTTAAAAATACTTTGTTTCTATTGCCTATCTCTTATCCCTATTTTACACAGTAGAAACAAGTCTTGAGTTGACATTATTTTAATGTCCAAGAAGCAGTAACTATTTTGTGATTGGCAGCATGATGAGATGTAGCAGACGTCTCCCACACATAGCAGGAGTGCTTATCCCAACTTATTTCTGGGCCCAGTTTCCGAAAGTACCTTCCCTTTGCTAATAGTTCAGTTTCTCTTACAGCAACACACTTTAGTTCTCTTTACTATTATTTTGGAGCCAACATGAGGTGAGGAAAGATCACTAAACTGTTAGGACACAGAGCCTATGAGTTGCATCTTCTAATTCAGCATCACTATAATCCCATTCTTCTTCAGGTTTTCTCTCTCAGCTATTACTTGCATTACATAATGTGACACAGGGTGGAAAGGCGATTGTGACAAGATTAAGGAAAGCTCAAATTATAATAAGGGATTCAGGACCAATTGCATTTTTACATGCAACTTTGCTCTTGTGGATATATTCATCATTTCTTGAAATGATTGGGGAACCTGCATCACTTAAATACTGACATCTATACATCACTTTCAGGCCTATTAATGCCCTTAATCTCCGCTGGTTCTCATTTTTGACTTAGATACTTAGCTAAAAGCATAAGAAAGGATTGAGCCTTCACCTTGTCTTATTTGGATCATATCAAAGTAGGCCTAATATTTGTAAGGATTATTATCCAAATAGACCCTTGTATTAGATTTTAGATTACTATTCCTGTTGAGGCTCTGAATTGATAAGGCTATTCTTGTGTGATTCCATTGACGGACTCCATGCATTCACATCATTTTTCCAAGTGTATTTTGTTATGGTAAGTAGAAGAAACACTATTACTCAAGCTTTCTCCATTCCATGCAGTTGTAAGGTTTGTCCCGAGGGTGGAAACTTTTATGGGAAGGGAAACATCATTGAAATACTTTCCACACTCCATGCATTTGTGTTTTATTCCGTGTGGACCATCTAATGGGAAGTTGACCTCTTAGATAAAAGGTCGTTCTACACTCCATGTGAGGATTTCACTATGGGAACAAAGGTGACCGCTTCGAGTAGAATTGTTTCCACACTCCATTAATATAAATGACTTCTCCTGTGTGTATTCTTTTAAGAGAAGACTGTTGCTTTGAGCAAAGCTTTTTCAGCACTACATTCACTTAAATTGCTTCTCCCCTATGTGGATTTTTTTATGGGAAGACCACTCGCCTGAGGAAGTCTTTCCACACTCCATACATTTAAATGGCTTCTCTGTGTGGATCCTTTTACGGCAAGTAAGATCACTGGCCTGAGCAAAGGTCTTTTCATTCTCCATGCATTTAAATGACTTCTCCCATTTTGTGGGAGGTAAGATGGCTGTTCTGACCAAAGACCCTTCCATGCTCTATGCATTTATATGGCTTCTCCCGTATGGATCTTGCTATGGGAATATGAGTGCTTTGTGCAAAGGTCTTTCCACACACAATGCATTTAAATGGCTTCTACCCTGTGTGGGTTCTTTGATGGACAGCAAGATGACGCTTCGAAATAAAGATATTTCCACACTCCATACATTTAAATGGTTTCTCTCCTGCGTGGATCCTTTTATGAGAGGTAAGATAGCTGCTCTGACCAAAGGTCCTTCCACGCACCATACATTTGTATGGCTTCTCCCCTTTGTGGATCTTGTTATGGGAAGAAAGCTGAGTGCTCTGACCAAAGGTCTTTCCACACTCCATGCATTTAAATGGCTTCTCCCCTGTGTGGATCTTATTATGTGAATAAAGATGAGAGTTTTGTACAAAGGTCTTCCCACATTCCATGCACCTATATGATTTCTCCGCTGTGTGTCCCTCCTTATGGGAAATAAAATAAGCTACTTGAGAAAAAATCTTTCCACACTCCATGCATTTAAATGGCTTCTCCCCTGTGTGGATCCTTTTGTGCACAGTAAGTCGACTGCTATCAGCAAAGGTCTTTCCACACTCGACACATTTAAATGGCTTCTCCCCTGTGTGGATCCTTTTATGGGAAGAAAGCTGAGTGCTCCTAGCAAAGGTCTTTCCACACTCCATGCATTTAAATGGCTTCTCCCCTGTGTGGATCTTATTATGGGAATAAAGATGAGCGCTTTGTGCAAAGGTCTTTCCACACTCCATGCATTTAAATGGCTTCTCCCCTGTGTGGATCCTTTTGTGCACAATTAGTTGACTGCAATTAGCAAAGGTCTTTCCACAGTCCATGCATTCAAATGGCTTCTCCCCTGTGTGGATTCTTTGATGGGCATTAAGATTACTTTTCCGAATAAAGGTCTTTCCACACTCTATGCATTTAAATGGCTTCTCTCCTGTGTGAATTCTTTGATGGGCAGTAAGATAATCATTCCGACTAAATGTCTTTCCACACTCCATGCATTTAAACGGCTTCTCCCCTGTGTGGATCATTTTATGGGCATTAAGACGACAGTTCCGAATAAAGGCCTTTCCACACTCCATGCATTTAAATGGCTTCTCCCCTGTGTGGATCATTTGATGGTAAGTAAGGGAAGACTTTCGACAGAAGAGTTTTCCACAGTCAACACATTTGTATGGTCTCTCCCCTATGTGAATCCTTTTATGGACAGTAAGTTGCCTGTTTTTTCTAAAATTCTTTCCCCATTCTAAGCATTTATATGGCTTCTCTGCTCTGTCAATCCCTTTTTGAGATGTAAGGGACTTATTTCCAAGAGAAAGAGTGAAAGTCCCATTGTGTCTGCTTACGGCATCTTCGCCTTTGTTTTGGATTGGACAATGTTCATTTACATGCAATTGAGCTTTGATTAACTTTACACTTTTCCCAATGCATTTTTTCTTTATTGTCCCTTGATGGAGAAGATCTTGCATTGAACTATGAATGGTTGATGAACTCTCCTGATTCCAATTATTCAACTGGTTTCTCTCATAATGTTCTTCTTCCATTTGTACTATATGCTTCTTTATTCTTTCTTCATGGTGGATCACTTGGAATGGCTCCTCAGAATCTTTATTCTCCTGCCCATTATTGCCTCCAAAGGAAAAGAGAAATGAAAATGATAACAAGGTTAGGAGAAAAGATCAAATTGTAGAAAGTCAAGTGAATTACCTTCTACATTTTTGCGAAATTGCAATATACAGATAAATCTTGAGCTACGAATGTAACGGAGCCTGCCAATTACATTTGTACCTCGAGGATTTGTTAAGTGGATCCCGCTCTATGAATGAGCCCCTATGCCTATTCCACCTATACATTCATAAAATGCCTTCAGTTTTCTAAGGAGTAGGCTGCTTCTCTTCACTCACTGGGTAATTACTGCTAAAGTGAATATGCCACTTGCAACAAGAGCAGGAAGAATGCTGCTCTTTCATTTTGGCCAATGGGGCTTTAGGAAGATGCAACGAGAGAAGCTGCTAAAACCTGGACTGTTTCTTTTCCCTCCTTTATCCTGACAATTAAAGTGCACAAAGTCTAATACACAGTGTCATCGCTGACATTCTGCAAGCCAACTATTGCAAGCTGAAAGCCTGACATTATCAATTGGGGAAGGGAAGAGAGGATTAGAATGTAAGGAGGAAGCGGGGGTGGGATGGAAATCAAGCCATGCCAGCTTGAGGCTTTAGAAGCATCAGCCAATCCAAACTCTGAATGCAGAACTAGAAAGCTTGCGAATCAAAGGTCCTTTCCCCAAGCAAAATCTAAACACCTAATTGGATATTAGCTTATAATAAGGGAATTGCAGGGAAAAAGGGAAAGTTAATTGCATCTTTTGCATGCGAAAATGCCAGATCCAGCTTCGCTGCTCTTGTAACCACTTTGACTTTAATAAAATACTTTTTTGGCTAAACAAAGGGCTAGGGGGGTGTTCCTTTCCTTGAGCAGCAAGTTGGGATGGGCGACACACAGCTTCTCTTACAAGTTTAGAAGCGCCAAAGCAAAGGAGGCTTTGTATTACAGTGTATGCTAATACTTGCAAAATAAGGCAAACTTGCTGGCTCTCTCCACCAAACTAAGCTGTTATTGTTTTAATGCTGGAAAGAAAGAAGGGTTTCACCTTACAAGAGAGAACTGCCGGTTCCCTCCCCCCCCCCCCAGATTTAGCTGTGTTCGCTACTGCCTTAGGAAGAGAGGATTTCGCTTTACAAGCAAGAGCTGCTTGAAAACCACCCCATTTGCAAGCAAACGAAGCTTTCAGTCTCTGTCATTTCACTGTCTGGGTGAAAAGTGTTTGGGGCACTTAGCACCAAATTGCTGAGTTGCTAAAAAGAAGCAGTTTAGGTGGGTTACCCACTCTCTACCAAAACCAAAGCTTCTATTACTGGCCGAAAATCATAGTAACCTTCCACTCCCCACCATGTTTTTCTGCGAGCGCGGAGCTGGGGAGCTTGGCACACTACTGCCCAGCTCCACTCACTTTCCCAAAGCATTCATTCGCTAGCCTGCTTTCCTATGTCCATCACACTTTTCGGTCACTGCGGAGCTGGTGAGGTTGGCATACCACTGTCAAGATCCCCTCTCTTCCCCAAACCATTCCTTCAATAACCTGTTTTCCAGCTCGGTTGCATTTCTGCACTGCTGCACTTACAGGGAAACAAAAGTAGTTTGTGGGACCAAAAAAAAAAAAAAAGTCAATCAGATCTTCCAACTTTTCAGACACACACACACAAAAAGATCTCACAAAGTTAGAAGGCTGATTGTATTTTTTTTTTTTTAGCCCCACAAACTTTTGTCTCCCTGCATCCGCCAACGGAGAAATGAAACCAAGCTGGAAAGCAAATTAGTGAATGAATGCTTTGGGGAAGAGATGGGAGCTGGGTTGTGGTGCACCAAGCTGTCCAGCTCTGCGGCGGTACAGAAACACAACAAAGCTGAAAAGCAGGCTAGCGAATGCTTTGGGGAAGCAAGAGGAGCTGGGTTTTGGCATACCAAGCTCTCCAGCTCCATGGTTGCAGAGAAATACAACAGAGCTGTAAAACAAGTGGCAAGTAAACACTCAACTCTCCAGGTGCTGAAACAGGCCCATCTCTCTCCACTAACTGCCCAGACCCACTGGAGGGCAAAGCTGGCATCTACTGAAATGGGGTGGCATTCCAGCTTTGATGCGGAAGGGGCAGCCAGGCACAGGTGCTGCAGGCAGGATGCCTGGTAGCTTCAGCACGCTCCCTGACTCTCCAGGGCTCTGCCTGCTGCTTGGGTGGCTGTGTGGATAGAGTTCCGAAGGGGGCCAGGTGGTCGAAACTGCCACCCCAGGGACAATGCAGAGGTGCAGGCCTTCAGAGCTGCCGCAAATGAAACGACAAACGGGGACCAGGAAGCCTGAGGCAGCAGGTGGAGGAGACAGCCTTCAGCAGACACATGATCTGAGGGGCAGAGCGGCAGGGATCCAAAAAAGCCCTTCCAGCAGCGGATGTAGCTGATGCTCAGCAGCAACAGAAGCCTTTTGCCATAACTTCCTCCTGGCTCCGAAACAGTGGAGGGGGACCGGGTGAGGGGACTAAGCCTCTCTCCCACCCATACTCCGTAATATGGCACTCCACCTCAGGAAGAAGTGAAAGGAAAGAGGCAGGTGGGCAGCCAGATCATTGAAAGGGCGGGGAGAGATCACCAGTGAGGAGTGGCCTGGTTGCGGGGGCCCTAAGGTACGCGGGCACCTCCCCGGTCACCTGCCTCACCTCATCTCATGGCGATGAAGTGCACTCTGCTGCCCTGCAAACAACCAGATGGTAGGACAGTCTTAACTAGGGCTTATTTTTGGCATAGAGTTTATATTCGGCGCATGGATAAAAATCAAGCTAATGCTTATTTTCGGAGAAACAGTATGCAAATCTCACTCAAAGTCAATTTTCAGTTAAGGAATAATCAGGGGAAAAAGTCAAGGAGCTTTTAGGAGATAACATAAGATTTATTGGAATGGTTAATTTCAGGAGAGACCTTTGAGAACTGAAACAATTTTGTAACAAGTCCTTTTTTTCTATCCAAACTAATTTCCCTTTACTATTCCTCTTGCCAAAATCACATAGCTGCAGAGAAAGAAACAAGGGTCCTTCTATTAGTGCTTAGAAGTAAGTCCCAAAATTACGAATATTGCAGCAGCACCGCAGTCATTTCCCCTAATGAGCGACCGCAGAAGCTCTGCAACATTCACGCTGGTTATTCCCTCCCTCCCCACGTCTACACCGGGTTTCCCTAGGCAACAGGATTGAAATCCTTCACTTTTTTGGCTGCTACAGGCTTTCGGTGCGTTCACAGAGAATGAAGGCCTAAAGTAATGCAAGATCACGTGAGATCACTGGGGCAAGATCTCACGCTACTGATTTTGTGTGATCTTATACTACTTTAGGTTTCTGTTCTCTGCAACAGAGAACAGAACCGAAGCCAGGGACGCTTCCACGTGCCTCTGGAGGCTGGATCGGAGCATCGGAGGCCTTTCCCAGGCAGCTACGGCCTGGATCTGGAGAAGGCCTCCGGTGCCCACATCAGGCTATTGAAGAGACATGGAATCATCCCCCGGCCTTAGAGCCAGGCAGCAGGAGGAACCGTGGCAGAGGAGATGGATCTTTTCAAGGTGAGTCTTGCATGGCAGGAAGGGAGGGGGAGGCATGAGGTAGCTTAGTGGGTTGAGGAGGCCTTGGGGACCTGTTCCATCACTAGGCCCTCCATGACCTTCCCCACCCTGAGATACCTTATGTTCACTTAACGAGCTACATGCATCTTAATGAGCAAGGGAGTGCTGTCCTTCAAGGTACGAGATTCCCACTGGTTTTCACAAGTGGAATGGGCAGGGTCCATTACATTCGTAACTAAAGGACTACCTGTACTGGTTAGCCCCTAATCCCAAGACTCAGGATAGAAATGAAAAGGAACAAAAGTTATTAATCCAAGAACCTGAAGAAATGACAACTCTTTCTAGGACAGATACGAAAAAGCATCTGGGCCCAAATAGCTGATATTGGTATTATGTACTTGAGCATATCCTCAAGCCAAGAAGTTAGTTTATCACTGATAGATTGAAATAGAAATGGAAAAATTCAGATGAGAAGTGGCAGAGGAAGCATCTAAACAACCATAGACCTCTTTCCTTTTAGTTGCCCCAAAGATCTTATAAGAGGAGCTCTAGTGGCGAAGTGCCAGGAGGACCCAGATTGTTGGGGGCAACATGCTGACATTGTACACCAGTCACAAAGTGTGGTAAAGCACTGTGGAGTGATATGTAAGTCTAAGTGCTATGGCTGTTGCTATTCCTTCCCTGGAGCAGGAGAAAGCCAGATATGTTTCCTTCTCCTTCCCAGGAGATGAGTTGGGGATTATTAATAAGAAATAGCTAATGGTAACTTTCTGAAACTCTCTGATTAATGAGTAGCAAATCCTTACCCAGAGAGGCCACATTTGTATGATTTTCCAGCATGACTTCATTATGTAGTACTTTTTGGTCAGGATCCAGCTGAGACCACTCTTCCTTGGAGAAATACACAGCCACCTCTTCAAAAGACACACGGTCACCCTGAACAAGGAAAAAGGAACAGAACAGCCCAAGGAGGATTCTCAAGATCTGGTCCATTGTTCACCAAATCCCAAAGTAAAGTTATGCACCAAGTTAAATGGCAGTAAATGGAGGATTCCAAGGTTTATGTGAGAAAATAAACAATCAAAAACCTTTGACTGAAGAACTATTTGGGCAAATTTTATCAAGTTGATCGATTCTGCAGAACTTTCAATGTCTTTCAGTAAAGTAATTCTTCTACTGGTTCAATGGGTCTCTGTTTAGCATTTGCTACCACTGTGATACGTTTACTCCTTTTTCTAAAAAAAAATACTTCTTGTAAAAGCCTATTTGGAAGACTAGCTAGCTGAACGAATTAACTAATAGTTTTTTTAAAAAAATCCTAATAGAATTTGAGGGTAGAAATGACAAATCATTGTGTCACGACAACAGTCTTCAGAGGAAACTAAGTTGGCTGAGAGCAACATCAACCCGTTTTCCATGTTGCAACTTGAATCCGCTATTCCAGTGGTTCTCAACCTGTGGGTCGGGACCCCATTTGGGGTCGAATGACCATTTCACGGGGGTCGCCAAACAACGCAGTCCGCCATTTTTTTCCCCTTTTCCTTAGCTGTGCTACTCCCTTTTATTCTATTGGCTTTTGAAAGCCAATAGAATAGACTCTCTTGAATAGAGTCTAATTCTATTGGCTTTCAAAAGCCAATAGGAATTGTCCAGGCTGTCTCTGCCCTACTGAGCCTGCCAAAAGTCCCATTCTGCAAACGGTGCTGCACCAGTTGAGTAGTCCTCGACTTAAGACCAGTTGAGTAGTCCTTGACTTATGACCGGTTGGGGGTCGCGGCATTAAAAAGGTTGAGAACCACTGCGCTATTCCCTTTCCCATGTTGCTTAGGAACACAAAAATAATCCAGTCTAAATGGGGCAGGGTGAGTGGAAGGAGAGAGTGGTCTGCACATCAGCTTCTCTTCTTGAAGGAAAGGGAGAATACAAATCTAATCAATTAATTTCCATAACTTACTTGATTTGGAGGTTCAACCACTGTTTCAGCTCCATCATAAACACCAGAAAACCCCATCTTTTGTTTCTCTGTGAGGAATACAGAATTTTAAAATGCATCATAATTAACAAAATAGGAGGTATTCTACAGAAGGGAAGAGATAGAAAAGGTAAGGTACCTCTCTGGATTATGGGAGGACCTTCGCTTTACCTGAGGAGTCCTTTTCCTGAGAGATCCTCCTGAGAAACAGCTCCTGAGGAGGATTTGATGGATTCCGCTTTCCCTCAGGATCTCTGATCTCCACAGTGAAATAGAAGGAAGGAGAAAGAAGAATTAATGGACATCACAAAACATAAAATGAATTCTTATTCTCTGAACACAACCTGAAAGTCCCCACAAAAGTCATCAGTGAGACTGAGGGAGAAATGAATGGAATAATGTCCTACAAAACTGGTGGGACAGCCCCACATACTATGAACACCAGAGAAGTCTGGGAAGGAGGGATAAAGAATTCAAAGAAAATCTTTATTCCATTCTGAGTTCCCTAGATGAAGATCTCTCACCTGCAACTCGACCTGTTCTTTCTTCTCCTCCGCCTGGCTCAAGAGGAAACCTTCAGCCAGGGCCACTGCCTGGGAACTAGTCTCTGCTCCACACTCCCGCACCCAGCTCTCCATCTCTGGGGGCAGGATAGCCAGGAGCTGCTCCAGAACAACCAGATCCAGCATCTGGGCTTTGGTGTGTTTTTCTGGTCTCAGCCATCGCCTACAGAAGTTGTGGATTTGGTTGCAAAGTCCTCGGGGTTCCTCAGCCTTCTGGTATTGGATGCTCCTGAAGTTCCAGAGCTGAACGTCTGAATGGATGGTTTCCTTCTGTACGACCTTCTTCCCAATTCTTGAACAGCCTTCCCCACAACTTCCAAGCTGAATGGCAAAAGGGCCTTTTCCAATTCCCTCACTTGCTAAAAGTTGTATCTCCATTCTTTTTCTGTTCTGTAACGCAACTCCAAATGGGTTCAGGGAATCTTGTGGATCTCCAAATGCTTATTATTCATAGGATTCTTCCTCTAGACTCAGGACTGACCGTAGTACGTCATTCAGCCCTCTTTAGAAGATATACAAATGGCTTGCAGGTTGTATTTCTGAGATGGAAAGAAATTCCAATTAGAAAGTGTGGACTTAACCAGTGAAACAACACGTGAAGATGCTGTCCTGTCCAATCCTCTTCCTAAAACAGGCTGAACTCTGGAAGATCTGACCCTAGTTTAATCTTTGGTCTCCAGAGGTTGTTTCTCATTTCTTAGTAAGGTGACCAACCGTCCTCCTTAGGGAGGACAGTCCTTCTTTTGTAAGTTCTGTCCTCCCTCAAAAAGTGTTCTCTTACATGTCCTCCTTTTCGATATTTAAAGACTAATCTGCAGGGCTTATTTTTTCTCATAGAATGCTCAGAACGGTGTTCCGGCACCTTTTTTTAATGTTTTTTTTTTCAACTTTTGCCTGAGTTATGCTACTCCCACTATTGGCTTTCAAAAGCCAATAGGAATTGTTTTGAGCGCCAAAACACTCAGCTGGCAAGCTTTGCACATGCAAGTTGTCTGTATTATTGTTGCAATGAATAAAATATTTCTTTTATTTATGATATTTTTTCTTCAATTTATTTGTGTCCTCCTTTTCTTTGTAAAAAGGTTGGTCACCTTATTCTTAGCCTAATCCAGCCTTGGTCCAACGTGACCAGTTCCAGAAAGTTCAGACTTCCAGCCTTACCCAGAGCCGACAGGACGACTTCCGGCTAGCCTCCCCTCCCCCCCCCATGCAGAGGAAATGGGGGGAAACTCCCCCTGCCTTCTGGCGACCCCCATTTCTCTCCTTTGCTCCTTCCCCGCCTGGCCCCTGCATGCGAAAGGGCAGCAGGGGAACATGGGATCCCGGACTCCCACCCAGAGGGAAGACTTGGCCCGCCGCCACTCACTCGGGAGTCTCCTCGAGATTCACATCCCGGCAAGGCTTCCCGGCAACCTCTGGGCTTCCGGCAAAGGCCACGCCCCCGCCTCTCAGCGGAGGGAGGGGGAATAACCGAAAGAGAAGTTTCTTGCTAGGAACGTTCCTTTTGCCAGAGGAGTCTTGCGCATGCTCAGTTCCCTCCTGAGGCTACGAGCGCCCCTTTGTGGGCTCTGCGCGAAGTGCCAGGATTCCCCGAAAGGGCGGGAAAGAGAAAGGTCATCAGAGGGGAAGGGGAGGACAGCAATGATGGGCTTGGGAGTAGGAGAAAGGCCCCTCTTGGGCTCGCCAAAGAAAAAGAAATATCTAAAAACCAGTCCCCAAATGGAGAAAAAGCTCAAACTGATAGATATTCCAGAAATTTTACCTCACAACGAGGCTGCTTGGTATAGAAAGATGGGGCAAATGGCGTCTCCTCTGTGACTGGAGAAAAAGTGGAATTGGAAAAAGGAAGAAAAGAAAATAAGGGAAAAGGAATATGAATCTCAGATTCATGAGAGGGGAAATAAAAACATTTTTATACAAGGATGGAGTTGAGAATTCACCTCAGGAAATGGGAGTAGGATGTTTAAGACCTTTGGCGAAGGGAAGGCAAGGGGGATCACATTAGGTCATGAATAAAGAGAAAAAAATGAAAAAGCGAAATAAGAGCTGAAAACAAGGATCAGATGAAAAGAATATACGTGCAGATAAGGCCCTGGGGTTCAGAGGAAGGGACATATGTGGAGATAGGACCCAGGTGTGCTTGTGATGGACATGGGAGTGAGGAAGATGAATTCTGAGAAGAAACATTTACTATTAAATTCTTAAACAACTTTTTCTTTAAAAGTTTTTTTTCCTTTCTGCTCACTGAGGGTTTTGCAGACAAGCTTGCTAACAGTTGACATGTTAGGGGGGTTGTGGGGGGGGGGCGATGTGCAGGGACAATGAAGCCAGACAGATTCACAGGTTTAATCACTTAGCCAGGATGCTGCTCTTCATTTACAAGAAATGGTAACAACATAGATGGCACAGGAAACTAGAAGCTTTAAGGAGCTGCAAACCAGGTAAGCAATCAATATTATATACGTTATGCATTATCAAAGGGAGGGGAAAGGGATGTGTTGGGTGGACAGGGATGTATGAAAATCACCTTTGATTATAAAAACTGTTGTAAAACTGTAAACGGGGCCTCTGCAGCTTTCAAAGCCGGGGTGACTTTCATCCTTGGTACCAAAATAAAAGCCTGTTTTTCTATACATTGGGTTTGGTGTAATTAATTGGCTTTGACACCAAGCTAAGACCCATTTTTGGGAACAACAAAACTCCATTGGGATGAAAAGATTTGACCACGTTTGTAGTCGACAATGACAGAAAAAGATTTGCTACACTGGGTGAAACAAAGAATTTAAATGGAGGGAAAAGTGGTTAAAAATGAGTTTTAAAGGATGGACTTAACCTGTCGATTTTTTTCTTTATATATTTATATCCTGTTTGTCACATAACCTTTAATGAGCAATATTTTTAAAAAAAATATCCTCCACTCAGCAGGAGCTGCTCAAACCCTGACATTTGTCCCCCACCCAAAAATCTCCAAATATTTGTATATATTAGTAATTTTTAATTCAACCACAGAGGATTTAATACATGCCTGGAATGGAATCACACCACTGATATTTAATTGATCGTATTGAAGTCAAATCTATACTTTGTCCTACTCCTTAGCACACCATAGAAGGGCAAAATATGGTTCCAATGCTTGAAAAATCTTTTGCTTCTGCATTTCAAGGGCTTTTGGTCATTCTGCCTCCTTTTGTAAGAGAGGAAATGTTCATCCTGAAACTCTTTCCACACTTTTTAAGATTTTCTGATTGATTAGAAAGCTACATGAGTCGCACCCTTTTCTAAGCCGTTTACAGAGTCAACCTATTGCCCCCAATAATCTGGGTCCTCATTTTACTAAACTCAGAAAGATGAAAAGCTGAGTCAACCTTGAGCCAGTGAGAATCAAACTGCTGAACAGCAGGCAGTTAGCAGAAGTAGCATGCAATACTGCATTCTAATCACTGCACTACCAAATAATAAACCAAATAATACTGTGGACATAGTATACTTAGACTTCAGTAAGGCATTTGACAAAGTAGACCACAACCTACTGTTCGGTAAGCTAGAAAAAGGTGGGATAGACAACACCATCAGATGGATCTGTAGCTGACTGACACATCGAACTCAGTGAGTAGTCCTCAATGGTACTACATCCACATGGAGAGAAGTAAGCAGTGGGGTACCACAAGGCTCCATCTTAGGCCCAGTACTCTTCAATATCTTCATTAATGACTTAGATGAGGGAATAGAAGGGGAACTCATCAAAACTGCAGATGACACTAAACTGGCAGGAATAGCCAACACCCCAGAAGACAAGCTCAGGATCCAAAAAGATCTTGGCAGACTTAAACAATGGACCCTATCCAACAAAATGAGTTTTAATGTGGAGAAAGCAAAGTTTTACATTTAGGCTGGAAAAATCAAAGATTTAAGTACAGATTAGGAGAGACCTGGCTCAAAAACAGTAACTGTGAGAGGAACCTTAGAGTCCTAGTTGACAATCACTTAACTATGAACCAGCACTATGTAGCAGCAGCCAAAAAAGCTAATACAATCCTGGTTTGTATAAACAAGCATAGAATTAATATCACGCAACATATTAGTACCACTTTATAAAACCCTATTAAGACCACACCTGGAATACTGCAACCAATTTTGGTCACCATACTACAAAAAATATGTTGAGACCTTGGAAAAAGTTCAGAGAACATGATCAAAGGCCTAGAGATTAAAACATATGAAGAATAGCTGCAGGACTTGGGTTTGGCTAGTCTAAAGAAAAGAAGAAATAGGGGAGATGATAGCAGTATTCCAGTATTTGAGGGACTGCCACAAAGAAGAGGGGGTCACATTCATCAGAGCACCCGAGGGAAGGACAAGAAACAACGGTTGGAAACTGATCAAAGAGAGAAGCAACCTGGAATTAAGGAGAAACTTCCTAATAGCGAGGACAATTAACCAGTGGAACAGCTTGCCTCCAGATATCGGGGCTGCTCCATCACTGGAGATTTTTAAAAAGAGACTAGACAGTCACTTATCTGAGATTGTATAGGTTAGGGGTAGGCAACGTTGGCTCTTTTATGACTCGTGGACTTCAACTCCCAGAATTCCTGAGCCAGTATGGCTCAGCTTGGAAACTTTCCCTTTCCCCTCAGCATGGCTGGCTCAGGAATTCTGGGAGTTGAAGTTCATGAGTCATAAAAGAGCCAAGGTTGCCTACCCCTGGTATAGGTTCTCCTGCTTGAGCAGGGGGGATGGACTAGAAGACTTCCAAGGTCCCTTCCAGATTCTATTATATTGTATTGTATTTTAATTCTAATTCTATTCTGAATGAGGGTGTTGGAGCCCCAAATTTATAAAGAGGGGCTGGAGCCAAATGACCAAAACGTCCTGCTATTTCAAGGTCAGTGTTGTCCTTGAAACAAAAGCTTAGGCCTAAGATCATCCTCAGCACCAGGGGCTACAGTCCGAGCAATTTGGGGTTCCTCAATGTCAAGTGGTGGGGAAGAAGAGTGAACATGGGTATGATGAATCCAAGTACAAATTCCAGCAACCTTGACTGTGGTGTGAGTAGTGAGAAAAACAACAAAGGGAACTTTCCAGTGTTCAGCCAAAGGGCCAGAATCAGTCCAGGACTTGACACGTTCCCAATCACTAGGAAGGAAGGAATTGAGTGGATGATTTAATCCCAGATGACAGAGGGCCTGAACAACTTGCAAAATGGAAGAAACATTATTAGCAAGAGAGTGCATGTATTCCTTGAGGGCCTGATCTCCAAAAACAGGGAGGGAAGTGGATAAGGAAAAATAGTAAAGAAAGGGTCATCCATATATGATCTCAAAGGGGGACAGCCAAGAGCTTGCTTAGGGGTGGTTCTCATACACAAAAGAACGAGGGGTAGCACCTGAACCCAAATGATGTACGTTTCCTGGGCAAGCTTGGCAAGATGATGTTTAAGAATGCCATTGGTCTTCTCCACATGTCCTGAAGATTGGAGCTGGTAGGCCAAATGAAGCTGCCAATCAGTACCTAGGGCAGTGGTTCTCAACCTTTCTAATGCCGCAACCTCATAATACAGTTCCTCATGTTGTGGTGACCCCCAATCATAAAATTATTTTCGTTTCTACATCGCCAGGTGCAGGGGGTGTGGCCAAGTGGGTGTGGCCGAGTGGGCATGGCCACCAAGTGGGTGTGGCCACAAAATGGGCATGGCAAGAAAGACAGCTCCGGCCACCATTAATGCTCTGCCGCCGCTGCCTGTATTTTAATGCATGTTTACCTTGCCTTTAAATGTGGGACCAACATTTACAGAAAGTTAGTAAATAATAAATAAGAACAGGCTGCTTTCATTTGAACCATAGATTATAGTGGGGACCTGGAGGGATTTTCTTTCAGTGAATATGAAAGAAAGTATATGAAAGAGAGGGAATAAAAAGCAAAGCAGAAAGGAATAAGAAGAGTGAGAAATGGCATGGAGGTTATAGGTTTCATGGATCAGAAATAAACAAACGATTAACAGTTTTAAGAGAATAAATGGCAACAAATGGAAGATTCAAACTAGTTTTAAGGGAATAAAAGGAAATAAATGGAAGTATTAAAACACTTTAAACCTCAACCTGTGGGTCAGGACCCCATTTGGGGTCGAACGACCATTTCACGGGGGTCGCCAAACAAGGCTGTCCGCCATTTTTGCCCCTTTTCTTTGGCCACGCCCCTGGCACCCGGTGATGTATAAGTGGTTGGGGGTCACCACAACATGGGGAACTGTATTATGGGGTTGCGGCATTAGAAAGGTTGAGAACCACTGCTTTAAACAACAAATGGAAGAATCAAAGCAGTTTATAAAAGGAAATAAATATCAGCAAACACGAATGCTTTAACCAAATTTTTGTAGCCCAGATGTGATAGCCTCCTCAGAGATTACATGCATATTTGTGCAGTTGTGTATTAGAA